CAGAGCTTCCAGTACAGACCTGTTGACACTTTAATTTTGACCTTGTGGGACCCTGAGCAGAGTACACAGGCAAGCCCATATGGACATGTGACCTCTAGAGCTCGGAGGTAATAAATGGGTGTCATTTTAAGTCTCTAAATTTGTGGTAATTCGTTATGCAGCAATAGAAAAGTAAGAAAGCTTCTTTCACTCACCTTTGTGTTTGTGAGACTCACCCTTGTTACAGTGGTATGTAGCAGGAGTTCATTCCTCCTCTGTGCTGTGTAGTACTCCATTGCTTGGACATACCACAATTTAGTCATCCATTCGACTGTAATGAATATTTGAGTCCTTTCCATGTTTTGGCTACTCGAAAAAGTGCTGATATGAACATTCTTATACCTCTCTTTTGGTGACTATTTATACACATTTCTGCTATATATACCAAGATGTACAAAGAGACTGAGATAGGCATAGAACTATTATGGCGTCTGTTCTGCTTTAATAGATACTGCCAAACAGTTTCCCCTGTTACTGTATCCATTTACATCTCCAGCAACAGTGAATCAGTGCTCTCATTGTCCCACGTCCTACCATCACTTAGTATCACCCTGCTGTTCTGATGGATGTGCGGTGGGATCACATTGTTCTTTTAATTTGCATTTCTCTGTTTACTAATAAAGTTGAACAACTTTTCATATGTTTACTGGCCATTGGATATCCTCTTTTTGGAAGTCACTCACCTTAATCTATTGAGTTGCTTATCTTTTCATGTTATCTTTAACAAGTAAGTTTAAAAATATTTTTTAAGTATAAAAATATTAGAAAAAAAGTTTACAAATTTGGTGAAAGGAGTACATTAAGATATATAAAATTATAAATATCTGACAATGTTGATAAACTTTAAAACCTCTATAAAAGGTACCACACACAAAAACATGTTACAGATCAGAAAAAGTATTTGCAATATGTAACAGAAGATTCTGTATCATAAATATATAGCATATAAAGAAAACCTGGACATCTATAAAAAAAAAAAAGAGAATCCAACAGAAAAATGAGCCGAGAACATAATTAGGCAGGCAAACAGAAGAGAAAATATGAATTAGCATCTTGTCAAACAAAAGACTATAATAAGATAGCATTTTCAACTATAAAACTAGCAAAAACCTAAAAATGTGGGTGAGGCTGTCAATAAAAGGATATTTTTATATACTGCTGGAGAAGATATAAATTGGTGCAGTCTTTTCGTGAAAGCAATTTCATGGTATCTACCAAAATGTTAAACATGCAATTCCATTTTGAAGCAGCATACAAAAATATGCCTTTGTGTAACATGGGTGAACCTGGAGGACATTATGTTAAGTGAAAGAAGCCAGGCACAGAAAAACAAATACCGCACATTCTCAGTTACATGTGGAAGCTAAAAGTGTTGATCTCATAGAAGTAGAGAGTAGAGTAGTAGTTACTAGAGCCTGGGAAGGGGAGAGAGGTTGGTATAGGGAGAGGATGGTCAATGGATACAAAATTACAGCTGGATAGGAGAAATAAGTTCTAGTGTTCCATAGCACTGTAGTGTGACTACAGTTAACAATAATTCACTGTACAATTTTGAATAGCTAGAAGAGAGAATTTTGAATGTTCTCAACACAAAGAAATGACAAGTGTTTGTAGTGATGAATATGCTAATTACCCTGATTTGATCATTACACATTGTATATGTGTACCCAAATATCCCATAGTACCCTATAAATATGTACAATTATGTGTCAATGAAAAATAAAATGTATATATGCCTATATGTACAAGTTTATATGTGCAAAGATATTCACTACAGCATTATTCACTATACAAAAAACTTGAAAACAACCTAAATACTCCTTGACTTGGGAATACTATGGCATAGCACCACCACAGAATATTATGAACCCAATAAAACCAAGGAGGCAAACTATATCTATTCACAAGGAAAGATATCTGTGATATTAAGTGAAAAGTTAGGTACTGAACAATATGTATAATTTAATCCCCTTTTTACATACTCAACAACAAATCCCCAATATTTAGGTACATACAGATGTATAGAAATGATTAAAAGTGGCTGCATCTGAGGATGGAGCAGGAGACTGCCACTTTCTATTTTAAGACTTTCTGTCCTATTTGTTCTTTTAAACATTGGTGTGTATAAGTCTGATAAAATAACAAAAATGTCATTCATCTAAGAAAAATCATTAAGCATTTACTATGCGCCAGGCAACTGGTAGACACACCGATCAATAATATATCAGGGAGTGCTGAGTGCTCTGAAGAAAAACAGTACGAGATAAACAGAGTGACACAAAAGGATGCTAACAGACAAGTCAGAGCAAGTCTCTCGGGGGGAACTAGCAATTACAGCAGAGAACTCGAAGGATTGAGTGTGAAGAGCACAGAAGTAGAAAGGCAGGGGGTCCACGCTGGCAGGTTCCAGGAACACTCAGGAGGCCACTATGGCTAGAGCAGAGTGAGCAAAAGAATAGGAGGAAACGAGAAGGAAAGGGACTGACTTATGGAGGGGAAGCCTCTGCATTCTACCCTTGGTGACAGGGGAAACCACTAGAATCCTGAACAGAGAAGTAACATAATCTGACATGTCTTAAAAGCATTACTCTGGCAACTCAGGCAGAGGAAAGAGCCAGAATAAAGGCTCTGAGGCAGGGCCACTCTCAGCGTGGTCTAGGTCTACCAAGAAGTCCAAGTGTGGCCATGCAAGGAAGTGGGGCATTACATAAGAGAAGTAACAGAGAGTACCACGCTGTGTAGAAACTCGTCAGCCACTCAAAGAACTTGGTCTTTTCCTTGGAATGAGATGAAAAACAACAGGAAGATTTTGGGCGGAATAACAGTGTGACCTAACTGAGATTTTAAAGGATCACTGTACCTGCCGTACTGGAAAGGCTTTAGGAAGTAAAGGGTAGAAGAAAGTAAATTAGAACATTACTATGGGTTGAACTGTGTCCCCCAAAAAGATATATTGAAGTTTTAACCCCTGGTACCTGTGAATGCAATTTTACATGAAAATTAGGTATTATGGATTGAATTGTCTCCATCACAAAAAATATGTTGGGATCCTGACCACTAGTACCTCAGAAAGTGACCTTATTTGGAGATAGGAACTTTACAAAGGTAAGTTAAAATGAGGTCTTTAGGGTGGTCTCTAATCCAGTATGGCTGGTGTCCTTATAAAAAGAGTAAAGGTGAACATATACCAGAGTAATACTTCTACACACCAAGAAATGCCAAAAATTCTCAGTGAACACTAGGAGGTAAGGGAGAAGCATGGAACAGATTTTTCCTCACAGCCCTCAGAAGGAACCAACCCTGATTCTGGGGTAGATCCCAGACTTCTGGCCTCCAGAATCATGAGACAATCTATTTCTATTACTTAAGCCACTCAGTTTGTGATACTTTGTTATGGCAGCCCTAGCAAACTAATACAGATGTTATTCCCAGAGCCCTAGCAAGAGACAAATGTGGCCTGGACCAGTGTGGTAGCAGCAGAGAAGTGACAAGTGACTGGCTCCTCAATATATCTGGAAGAAAGAACCAATAGGGTTTGCTGAAGGACTGGTTGAGAAATATAAAAAAACATCAAAGATGACTCAAAGGTTTTTGTTGTGAGCAACTAGGCAAAAGGTTCTGCCATTTACTGAGATGGGGAAGACTGTGGCAAGTGCCAGTCTACAGGAAAAATCAGAATCCAAGCATTCAGGTAAGAGGTATAAAACAAAAGAAAGATGAAAAGAGCTAGAAGAGCTCAGCAAAGAAAATAAACAAATATATAGAACAGTTATGAAAGACAGAGTAGAAGCAACAAAACAGAATAACTACAAGAGAAAACCCAAAGTCAGGGGGAGGAAGCCAGAGGTAATTACACAAAACGAAAAAGAACAAATATTTGGAAACAGAGAACATGCAGATATTGAAAACAGATGAAGATCCAACATATGCATATTTATCATTCTCAAAAAAGATAATAAAGAAATGGGACAACAGTCACATTCAAATACACAACAGAACTCATCTTTCCTGAAATAAATACTTGAATTTGTGAATCAAAAGGTCACAGAATTTCTACAAAAAAACCCCAAAAAACATAAATACAGAAAATCATTCTACACCGAGACATTCAGGTATAGTTTCTACACTTCGAAGTATTTTTTAAGTCTTAGTAATAAACATTGAATCCTTCCTTTTAAATATAGAACTAAGACTAAACAAGTGTGGGAATTATGGCTGTAGAATAAAATGTAAATGTTGTACAAACTCTGAAAACATTACAACTAATAAAAATCAGGAGGATGAACTAAGGGATAGACACACTAGTTTTCATGTACTAATCTGCATATCTTTCATAGCACTAGAGTGTCTCTCAGATCCTACAGGACAGCAGCAAGGGAAAAATCCTCACAGTGGGGGAAGCTGGGAGAGCTGGGAGCAGTTCACTTGGCTTGCTACTTTGTATGGGAACTTGCCTGAGGAACCAAGACCTGTGAACAGCTGGCTGGCTGATCAAGGGCCTGAGCAAGACAGGAAAATCACAGACAAGGTCTATGAAATACTCTAAAATTGAAATAGACGGTTAAAAAATAGCCTCTAACCTCAAGGTTTTTGTAATAATCTTTTCCCCCTTAAATTTAGAGGGATCTTTCTAGAACTATTAAACTGTTATGGGGAAGAAACATTTATCTGAAGTTCAGCAATAATTTTTATTTTATTTAAGAGAGATAAAGCATTAGCTGGAGAAGTAGGGTTTGGTCAGTTTTGTACTGACTGGGAGAGACTTCAGCATGTACTTTGTATGATCTTCATCACACTCCTAATTCCAGTCAGTTTCTAATATGGACCACTTGAACTCTGGCCCTTTATTCTTTCCACATCTAAGGGAGATGAACACTTTACATATCTCAAACAATACCATTTTGCTAGGGAAAACACACTGGATTACAAATATGTCAGCTGCAGCTATAACATTTACTTACCCCCAACCACAGACACACTTTATCAGTAGGAGGAACCGAAGCTTTGCAGTACAGGTTATCTGCCAGTAAGAATCTGGTCTCCAGTGAATTAGTGGACTCCTTCAAAAAAAATGACAGTACCATAAACAGGCCAGTTGGACATCAAGTTTATTAAGGAGAGATCACACAGCTGAACCTAAGACATTTTAAAAAGGTCACCATGAAGACTAAGTATAGTGGTAAAAGAAACGATCGCTAGAGCCAGATGGCTAGGCATGGACTCTGGTTCAGCCACTTACTAGCCGTGTAAATTTGGCGCTTCACTATCTCTGTGCTTACGCTCCTTATCTGTAAAATGATGACAATAATATCCCCTACACCTACAAAGGCAGTGGTAAGCACTGAGTTCACACACACACTCACACACACACACCACACCCACACACTCTCACACGAAACAGTACCTTGGCACAGAGTACGTGAATTGGCTCTTATTACTTAATTGGTGCATCCTGTACAACCAGTAAGTTTCTGAAGTCTCTTACAAAGTTCGCCACATATAATCACGTACTAGAAGTGTAGTTATTCTACCAGTCAAGTAAAAAATCATATGCACACACGCATACAATCTTTTCAATACAATATACTTATGAGATTTCATCTTTACAGTCGGCTTTTATTTAATGAGTGGATTAAGACTCAGAAGACTTTCAAATTTAGTTCTGCCACTAACTAGCTAAGTCGCACTGGTCAAGTGTAATCTCTCTGAACCGTGTCCACAAGTGTGAAATGAAAATCTGAAACAGATAATTTCTAAGATTCTTTCCAGCTATATAAATCTTGGACTCGCTCCTTATTCTTAGGGAAACCACAACCACCAACAAAAACCCTTAGATACTGCTACTTCAATATAAGACATATGCTTTTTGTACCTAAAACAATTTCAAATTGTATTTAAGTTGTGCACACACTACGGGTAAGTAATGTAATCCATGCTCAGCCATCTTACTCTAGCGTTCACTTCTTTTACCACTACACTTAGTCTATGGGCCCTAGATTAAACCGGACTTTTGGGGGAAGGCTACAAAGCCACACTTATTACAGAAGCACACTGTCTATAACATCAGTGTATCAAGAAGGCAGACTGGCTCCTAGAGCATAGATCAAATACCAGTGACCAAAGAATCAAGGAAGATGAGTTTCTGCCAAACTATGCTGGTTCACTCATATTTACAAACAAAAATGCTCTTACTTTTTTCTTCTGCATGTATTTGAGAATTTCCAAAGTCTGCTTAATTTCAGGAATCTGACCTTTAAGTCTGTGAACAAGAAAAAGGTTAACTTAGTATTTTGCTGGCAAGAATAAATACCAGGATAGTCATTTTTTATTTATTTATTTACTTTGGTGGCTGGCCAGTACAGGGATCTGAATCCTTGACTTTGGTGTTACAAGGTAGCGCTCTAGCCAACTGAGCTAACCGGCCAGCCAACCAGGACACAGTCTTACTAGCTTTACATCTATTGACATGTTCTTTTTTTAAAAATTTATTTTGGGGGACAGCTGCCCAGTAACAGGGATCAAACTCTGGACTGTGGTGTATCAACAACACGCTCTAACCAACTGAGCTAACCAGCCGACCTATTGACATATGCTTGAGAACTAATTACAAATATAAAATACTTAAAGTATTTTAGAGTTATTTAATAAATTTTATTTATTAAAAATTTAAGATATTTTTAGATATAAGTATTTAAGACAAATATTTATAAAACTTTTAATAAAACATTTCTATAAAAATAAAACATATTAATAAAACATAAAACATTTAAGGTATAAATATTTAAGTATTTGAGATATAATGGCAAATATTTATGGAATGCCTACAGTGTACAAATCCCTGTTGTATATGTCAAACACCCTTGTTATTCAACATTTCTACAGCAGACCGCATTCTACAGAGGTGCTTCAGGGGTTCTGCATTTGCTTAGAACTGCATTTTAAATAGATTAATTTTAAAACTAATTTTAAAAATAACATACATTCAAATATCACATTCTAAATTCAAAACCGCCAAGCCCCTATCCAGTGCTGCATACAGTTGCTCCTGGTGAGGGCATTCAGTATGCAAACATCTATCACAGTCATCTAAATGCCAGGCAAAACACAGTGACATCTTGGTGTGTGCACTTGTCACAATATCACCTGAATGCCTAACACATCACATTATGATAGAGTATAGTTTAGTGATTCTTTTAAGCTTTGGGTACTTTTTCCTTAAAGTTTATATTGATAAATGCTATTTTCTTTTCAAGTTAGGTAACAATTACTTTTAAAATTATAAATGGATCATTGGCTTAAACATAGGAAATTTAGAAAAACAATGATAGGCATGAGGAGACTGATCAGACTCAACAGATAAGTTATATTATAGCTACTAGCAAACTACTAGCAAATGACTCCCAAATAAAATCAACCTCACTGACTAAAATATAACAGACAAAAATAATGCACTGAAAATACTCAAAGTCACTTAAAGAGAGGAAACAATGATACATTTTTTGTCACTGGAGTTTAGCTCTTCTTTACAGTTGATTAGAAACTGCCCAAGGCTTTAATGTGTTTTGCATGGAGAAATCTACGAAATAGTTCTAGGGTCTCTGTCAAATCATAATGTAATTTGTAACAAAACAGATAAAAATATAAAAACAAAGTTCTTGCTCTTTCAGGGTAAACTTAACTAAATATTACTAGAGACCAGTATATAAACAAAATTTAAATATGGTAATGAAAATGAACGTATTGCATCATATAAAGGAAGTTGCACTGTATGTGGAGAAGGCTAGCAGGGTAAACTTAATTATACCCTGTGCTACTGACCTGACAAGATCACAGTAATTCCTTGAACTTGTTAAGATAAGTGAACAGATATGATGTTGATGGGGGAGTGGAGGGGAGAGAGAGTGGGGATAAGGAGGAATTGGTAAAGGGACATGAAAATCAACTACACTGTATACTGATAAGTTAAAAAACAAAAAAATTAATAAAAAAATTAATGTTACTATTTGAAAATAAAGTCCAGTGAATCATCTAGAAACACACTCAGCAATCATTTTTTTTACTTAATTTGAAGGCTGATGTTCTGTGAACTATTTACAATTCAACATGGATGCTGTAGATCACTCAGTTTTGCTTATTTTTGCATGATACGTTCAAATAGGTAAATGCCAAAAAGATGTATTCATTTGTAAAATATCTGATACATATGCAACATAAGAAGTATGTTCAGATCAAGTATTTTGGTCATGTAAATGATTTTTAAGATTTATTTTTGTATGTATGAACATTACATGTAATGTATGTTATAAGGCATTTAACGAATCAATCAGCTGCAGCCCCAGCCAACTTAGGAACCAGGTCTACAAGGTCACTGTGCATGCTCAAGCAATACAATCTTTCCCACCCTGATTCACCCCATAAGATGGCAGCTCCCCTGAACTTTGAGTTTACAGTCCCTTTTTTCTATTTCAAATAGTTTCATCAGAGCTGGCTAGTTGGCTCAGCTGGTTAGAGCGCAGTGTCATAACACCAAGGTTAAGAGTTCAAATCCCTGTACAGGTCACTTGCAAAAAAGTTTCATCACATTTGTGTGTATCTCTAAACAATATATTATTTAGTGTTGCTGGTTTCTAAGCTGAATTCAAATGTCTCATGCTAAATGCATTTTTTTCTGGGATTTGCTTTTTTAACTCAATTAAGTTCCTAAGATTTGTTCATTCCTTTTCACTGTTGTGTAATAGTCCATTACAAATATAACACACCTTCTTTTCCACTCTCCTGTCAAAGGGCACTCAGGTCAGTTGTAGGTTTTTGTTATTATAAGAACAATGGAGATCTCTAGGTCCTGGGAGGTGATAGGGGAGTGAAAGGGGAGACAGCAGCTTAGAAGGGAAGTAGACCAAGTCTTCAAAAGGAGAATGATGCTGAAGGAGAATGTTCCAGCTATATTCTTCTCCTACTTCCGAGCTGTCCTGATCAAATCACATAACCTACCCCATCACTGTCACAGGGTAGAAAAATGGCAGAATTGGCCAGAGACAGGGAGAGGGCCAAGCTGGGAAGCTGAGAATGATAAGTTCTGGTCCCCAGTAGCCCCCACTCCCACTCCCTCAGGTGATGACAGTAAAGAAAGCTGAGGGCAGAGGAAAAGAAAGAATCCCCCAGAGGCGGAGACCCCCAGTTGGGGAGAAGGCATACTCCACGGCTATAACAGCAGCAGCATTCCTCCACCCTACCTACCAGGAGGGACTTAAGTCATCCCCACTTCCACATGTAACTGACAGCCCTCAGGAAATATGAGCTGACAAAAGAAATGAATAATCTGATCAACTAAACTACAATAAAATAAAGACAATAAACGCAACAACCTTTATCACATAAAATAAAATTAACAAATACCAAAAGATAAGATTATATAGTAAGTATTTAAAAATACCTCAAGAAGAAAAGAAAGGATATTGGTAATATGAAGAAGAAATAAGTCATTCTAAGAAGAACCAACCAAAATCACTTGGTATTAAAAAAAAAAATTCATAGATATCCATCTATTTGCTGAAAAACAATGACAAAAAACAGCAAAAGAGAAGAGAGAAATGGAAGGCAGAATTGGAAGTGTCAACATCCAAAACGAAAAGGAAATCCAGCAGGAGAGAGGAAAATAATTAACATATGATAGAAAAAAATGAAAAAATGATAATCACAAAATTCCTAATTAAAAGATAAAAGACCAACAGGTACATGAAAAAAATGTTAAACATCACTAATCATCAGGGAAATGCAAATCAAAATCACACTGAGATATCTCACCCCAGCTAGACTGGCCACTATTAAAAAGACTGGGAATAACAAATGCTGGCAAAGATGTGGAGAAAAGGGAATTCTTCTACTGTTGGTAGGACTGTAAATTAGCACAGCCATTATGGAAAACAGTATGGAGGTTTCTCAGTATAACTTCGTATAATGTATGCTATACGAAGTTATTACGAGCAATCAAAATCACACTGAGATATCTCACCCCAGCTAGACTGGCCACTATTAAAAAGACTGGGAATAACAAATGCTGGCAAAGATGTGGAGAAAAGGGAATTCTTCTACTGTTGGTAGGACTGTAAATTAGCACAGCCATTATGGAAAACAGTATGGAGGTTTCTCAAACAACTACAGATAGAACTACCATAAGATCCAGCAAGCCCACTGCTGAGTATATACCCAAAGGAATGGAAATCATCATGTCAAAGGGACACCTGCACTACCATGTTTATCGCAGTGCTATTTACAATAGCCAAGAGTTGGAACCAACCTAAATGTCTATCGATGGATAACTGGATATACACACATATATACACACAAAATGGAATACTACTAAGCCATAAAAAAGAACGGAATTCTGCCATTTGCAGCAACATGGAAGAGCTTGAGAAAATTATGTTAAGCGAAATAAACCAGGCACACAAAGAGATATACTGCATGTCTTCATTCATAAGTGGGAAGGGAGGGGAGGGGAGAGAAGGGAAGGAAAGGAGGAAGGGAAGGAAAGGAGGCAAGGAGGGGTGGGGGCTAGGAAGGGAGGAAAGGAGGATGGGAGGAAGGGAGGATGGGAGGAAGAAGACCGTGATAAAACGTTGAACTTTCAGAATGAGAAAACAGACTATAGTTACTAAAGGTGAGAAGGGGAGGGAGAGGGGGGTTAGGCAGCAATTGGGTAAAGTTCACAAAGAATAATTATGATTTGTAATGATGAACATGCTAATAATATTGATGTGATCATCACATACTGTACACAAATACTGATAGTCAACTCTGTACCCCATAAATTATGAAATACTAAAGAACTTTTATATAGCCTGATAGTAGAGTTAAATGACAGGCTGCAAAAAAAGATTTACAACTTATGTAAAGAAAAAGGTTAGCACCCAAACTACATAGAGCTATATGCTGCAAAACAACTAGCTTATGCACAAAAATAGTTTTGTTGCATAGCTAACATCATAGGGGTGAGGAAAATTCCAGAAAAATAAAAAGGGAAAAAACGAGAAAAGAATTTGAGTTGAACAGTGAAGACTGGCAAAAGGTTGGGGTGAGGGCAGGTGCCCATACCAGCTGTCGACCTGAGCCTGGGCTTGCAGTTTGGTGTGGGAGTTCACAGAAAAAAGTGTAACAATTTGGAACTGGGCTCAAATGGCCCAAGGTTGGTACTGACTCACAGCTCCTGGCAAAAGCAAAATCCTCTACGGATAAAGGCAAACTAGACAAGCATCTATAGCTACAGGAAACTGACATATATCAACGAAGTTAAGTAAGTAGATATCCACACAGAGACAAATTATGGTGAAATAACAATAAAAGAAAGGGTGATTTTGAAATACCCAAAAAGTTAAATTAGTTTATCTAAAATGGCTGGATTTAAAAACAACGACCATATATTGTTTATGGAGAATACCCTTAAATATGTGATAAATAGGTTGAAAGTAAAGGGATTAGAAAAAGATACACCAAGAAAATATTAGCTGAGAGAAAAGTTGGGGTAACTATAAGTATCCAATAAAACAGACTTTAAGACAATAAGCATTATTATATATAGGGTTAAATTCATCAAGAAGACTTAATAATCCCTGTAATTGCATGTGCCTAATAAAATAGACTAAAAAGGGGCTGGCCTGTTTGCTCAGTTGGTTCAAGTGAGGTGTTATAATACCAAGGTCAAAGGTTTGGATCCCCATCCTGGCCAGCTGCCAAAAACATAAAGTAGACTAAAAAGTAAAAAAAAAAAAAAAAAAAAGACAGAAATTGTTTTGGGTAAGATGGAGCAGCTGGCAGCAGACAAGTATTCCCACCTCCAACCATTCCAAGAGCCAAAGAAAATACACAACTTCTCTGTTGGAAGGCAGCAGAGAGGTGCTGAGGTGATGGGAACTACAGGGCTAAGATTCCTGCAAGGGAAGAAACTCTGAGAGGTAAACTGATTTCCTGCAGCCACGTTTACCAAAAAGTATATGAGGGGACATATCTTTTTATAGACGTATGCCAGCTTATTAATAAATGAATTCAAGTATCATCACTTTACAACTCAAAATTAATGGATCTAGGCATTGAGCATCCTAGAGAGACAACTAGATATTGTCTGCCTCATAATGGAAGAACAATACACAAAACTACTGATAGAGTTTGGATGTGTTGTCTCCCCAAAACTCATGTCAAAATCTGATCCCCAACTTGGCAATGTTGGGAGCAGTTTGGTCATGGGGGCGGATGCCTCCTGAATGGATTAATGCTCACCCTACAAGGAGGAAGGTCATGAGTGAGTTCTCGCTCTATTATTTCCCACGAGAGCTGTTTGTTTAAAAGGAGCCTGGCACCTCCCCTATCTCTCTCTCCTGCTTCCTCCTACCATGGGATCTACTTGTATCCACCAGCTGCCTGCTGCTTTCTGCCATGAGTAGAAGCAGCCTGAGGCCCGCACGAGATTCAGTTGTCCCAGAATCGTAAGCCAAATAAACCTCTGTTATTTAGAAATTACCCAGTCTCAGGTACTCTGTTATTACAACACAAAAAAGGACCAATACACCTATGAAGCAGTGTTGCAAAAAAAAATTTCAAACCTCAATATGATCAAGATGGTAGATCTACCAATTTATAATGGATGACAAAGAAACATGCTTGAATATCACACAATTGTTTTGAAATTTAGCAACACACTTCTGAGTAACCCATGGATTGTAGATCTAAATGTGAAAGATAAAACAGTAAAGCTTTTAGCAGATAACATGGGAGGATATCTTCATGAAGTTAGGATAGGCAAAGATTTCTTAAACAAAATACAAAAAGCACTAACCATTAGGAAAAAGATTGTTGAATCAGACTACATTAAAATTAAATGGTGCTGAGCCAAATATTATATCCACACTGTATTCATGTTAAAAGAGAAATTGGAAGCCTACCACACACCACACATAAAAATAAATTTCTGTTGGATTAAGAACTTAACTGTGAAAAGCAAATTTTAAAATTTTTAGAAGAAAACATAGGAGTTTGTCTTTTTGAACATGAAATATAGGACAGGATTTCTTAAACAATATACAAAAAGTGTTAACTATAAAGGGAAATTTTGACTGAAAACATTTAAATTAAGAGCAACTGATCAAAAGAAATCATAAAGAAAGAAAAACGACAGACTACAAAAGGAAGAAAAATTTCTTACACTTATAACCTGAAAGGATTAGTATCCGATACATAAAGAACTCCTACAAATAAAAAAGACAACCAACCCACATTAAAATGGGTAAAACTCTTCAAGAAAGTTTTCCTTATTCTAATTCTACCATTCTCTTTTAACACACACTGGACTGACATTGTTCCCATCCAGAACACCAATGACTTCCCCTTTATTAAGTCCAAGTCCATTCTCAGTCCTTATCTTACTTTGCTGTTACCCCTCTTCTCCCTAACTTCTTACTGTTGCAGTGCCCAGATCTTTGATCACTTTCTCTTCACCTACACACACTCTCTTGGTGATTGAGCTCATCCAGTCCCCTGGCTTTAAATACCATCTCTACACTGATGATTCCCAAATTTTTATCTCCAGATCTTACCAAACTTTAGACTCATATATTTAATTGCCTACATAACATGTCCACTCGGATGTACAAAAGGCATCTCAAATGTGTCCAGAACCGACTCCTGATTTTCCCCAAACCTGTTCCACCCAGTCTTCCCCATCTCAGATTATAGCTCTCCCCTTCATGCTTGTTCTAACTTCAAAATAGATTCAGAATCTGACTCTTTCCCACCACACCCACTGCTACCACCCTGATGCAAGCCACCATCAACCTTACCTAGATTAGTGAGAGGGCCTCCTAACGGACCTCCTTGTTTCTGCCCTTCTTGAGAATATTATCAACCAGCAACCCAAGTGATTCAGATAACAGGGAAAGGTCAGATCATGCCACTCCTCTTCTCACAACCCTCAGTGGTTCCTACCTCCCAACACTCCATACCCCTTACTCTGCTTTATTTCTTATCTGCATATCACTTATCACCTTCTAACCCACTATATAATTTATCTCACTAGAATGTTAGCTCCATGAGGACACCCATTTTCATGTTTTGTTTACTGATGTATCCTAGGATAAGGCCTGACGCATAGTAAGTTTATAATAAATATTAACTGTATTGAATCAAATGTTTACTGTCTAGACTGTCTAGATCCCACTGGACTGTAACCTCCCCAAGGCCGGGGATTTTGCCTGTTTTGCTCACTGATGCATCCCAAGTGCATCTAATTAGGAGGGCTGCAGGTATATACTGCAATTTTTACTATGCCCCTACACACCACACATTCAGGCCTAAAGCATATGTAAGGTTGGAGTGAGTACCCTATGATACCACAGTACTAGAGTTAGCGATATAACTTTGATATACAAATTTCCTCCTCTCTCCCAGGGAGTGGTCCCAAGGGCCATTTTCTTCTGTATCTATAACCTCCCTGTAGGCAATCTTGAATCCAATGGCTTTATTCTTTTTTAAAAAATAAAAACTTTTATTATCACAAAACCAGTACATGTACATTGTAGAAAACTGAGAATAAAGACAAGCAAAAATAAGGAAAACACCATATTCTCACCACCCAGGGATTATCACTGTTAATAGACCGTTAGTATGGATTTTTCCAGACATTTCTGTGCATACATACATTTTTTTCCAAAATTAGAACATACTGTTCATAGTGTTTTTAGTTGGCATCCCAGTATTTAACTGACAGAAGAATGCTGGCACATGCACATAGCAAATAGATATCCGTAAATATTTATTATAGCAAACTGACTTTATAGCTATCTAAAATAATATAGGGAAACAAAGAGTTAGTACCATAGATATCTTTGTCCTATACTTATATGTTATGAAATCACAGAAAGTCATAACTTCCATGGGTCCCTCATTTCACTGGCAAAATGAGAAAGATGAGCTAGACATCTAAGATGTTATGGTACTAGATGCTTTGGAACAAGGTCTTCAATATTCATTCTGTTTTCAAAACCATCTTTAGACTGGAAATATCAAGTGTTGGCAAGGATGTGGAACAACTGGAACTCTCACACATTGCTGGTGGGAGTGTACCTCCAAGGTACAGCTACCTTGGGGGACTTTTGACAGTTTCTCATAAAATTGAACATACACTTATCATAAAACTCAGCAATTCCACCCCTAGGTATTTACCCAAGAGAAATAAAAACATATGTCCACACAAAGATTTAAAGCCAAAAAGGGGGAACGACCCAAATCCCATCAGTAGACAAAGAGATAAAAAAGAGATAAAAATTGTGGTACATCCACATACAATGGAACATGACTCAGCACTAAAAAGGAACTAATTTACCAATACACACACCATGAATGACTCTCAAAGCATTATACTAAGTGTAAGAAACCTGACACAAAAACAATAGTTACTATATGATTCCATTTATATGAAGTTCAAGAACAAACAAAACTAATTTAGCGTGAAAAAAATGAGAACAGTGGTTGCTGGGGAACTGAGGAGGGAGTTGACCAGAAAGGAGCATGAGGGAACCTCCTTGGGTGATGGAAATATGCCATATACTCATCTGAGCAATGCTTACAGAACTGTATAAATGTGTCAAAATCCATCAAAATGAACATTTAACATCTGGACATTTTATTGTATGTAAATTATATCGCAATTTTTTGAAAGTTCAAGTCATATAAGATTAAAAACTTAACTTAGAAATTTTGACACTTACCTCCTTTTTTTTTGAGCAAGGTTGAGTTCCATAAACTTATACTTCTGGTACTGTTCATCCAGCTTTTTTAGTACTGTATCTGCAGTCTCATTCCCAGGCTGTTTCATGAAAGAATCTACATCTTCCTTTAATATCAAAAATAATACATCGCCAATTTTAGAATCCATGCCACTAATCTGATTTTTTGATTGCTTTGTTTTTAAAATATAAAAGAAAAAATCTTTGTTTCTTTCTCTCTAAAGGTTTGTTCTTAACCAAAAAAAGGAGTTGTAAAAAGTTAGAGACCATTTCAGAAAGTGCACATATAGCTAATTTATTCTTTCACCTTCCTCTTTTAATTTTTATTTATAGAAAGGGAAAGAAGGGGCTGACGGGGTTCGGATCCTATATAGGGATGGCTAGTGTGCTCACTGGCTGAGCGCGGTGCAGGCGACACCAAACCAAGGGTTGCGATCGATCCGCTTACCGGTCACCAAAAAAAAAAAGGGAAAGAAGGATGACCTTGCCTCTTTTATGCATTTCCCATGTGGCCCTAGTAGTAAGTATGAAAATTACCAACAATCAAACACACTGCCTATTCATGTGCCCTAGTCACAAAATGATTCAACAGGTTGTGTGCTGAAATGATCAACTTTATCTACTTATTTTTAATTCTACAAATTCTGCCATAGAAATCATGCTCAATATAGTCATTAGGTTCTCAAGGCAAGCCATAAATGCTTCCTTAAATATCAAGTGGTTGAAATAAAGGCAAACAGAACAATCTTTTTTTTAATAGGAATAATTAGTCAAAAGAAAAGCAGTAAAACTAGTGTTAAAAACTGTTTAATATATACCACATATGCTGGTCCTTGAAGAAAAGAGAGTTAATTAAATAAGGATCAGGAAGTAGATGAGCTTTTATGAGAAACAGCAAATGTAGTAGTAGGTCAATACTGAAAGCAAATTTTCTGTTTCTCATAACAACTCTGTGAATATTGTCATCTGAACTTCAGTTAAATAAACTGAGGGTTAAAGCGGTAAAATAATATGCTCAAGGCTAGGCAGCAATTGGGAAGCAGAGACAGGATTCAAATTCTGGTCTATTTAGAAGCCAATGTTCTTTCTGCAATACCACGTTACTCCCATTAGTTTGGGAGTATAAAAATAATTAGGTAAAATGTAGGTTGCTTATTACATCATGTAGGTAGGACTTTTAAGGTCTAGAAAAAATAGCCCACAAATTTTTAGGAAAAAAAGGCATTTCAAGATAAGACTCTATAAAGCTCTCAGATAAAGTTTATCCTCTTGAATTAGATTTCTGAAGCCATCTCCAGCTGAGCACTATGATATTTAAGGCACTATGGAAATTCAATTAGACACCTAGTTAAGAGCTTATATACTAAGATGGCTCCTGAGTGTCCACTGTGCTAGGACTAGGAGAAGTGGCACTATGCAAGAGAACTACCCGATTTTCCTCCCAGTAGCAGAGCATGTGTGGTAAGCTGAGGTTCTGGAACCCTACAGATTGCCCAAATTCAAGTCCTGGATACTTCACTTACATCTTGTGTGACCTGGGGCAAGTTACTCAACGGCTCTGTGCCTCAGGTATCATCATCTGTAAAATGGGACTGATGACAGTAACCACCTCCTGGAGTTTTGTAAAATCATTAAGATATGCCTGACACTCAACAAATTGTATCTCTTGTTACATTTAGTTGAGAGATAAATGTAAAGAAATAAGATGGCACAGCTCAGGGAGGAATCACAAAATCGCTAAAGAAAATAATTAGAAAATTTAATCAGCAAATACAAATGTACAATACAAAGAGTGGTCTAAACGAAAGAAATGGGTCTTCTGAAGGATGTAAGTAAGACACAGCAAAAAGGTATAGGTAAGGCAATATAGGAACAAACCAAAAGATCGAGAAAATTCCATTAAGATTTAATAGTAGCTCAGTACAACTAAATGAGGAAAGACAGATGATGGTGGCCCGGAAAGCCAGTGACAGGTTTTTTCTCATTATTCAAGTAGTTTTCAAATACTATTTCTGGAATAGCTCGATAGGAGGATGGAGTTGATAGCGTCTACCTCCTTCTCTTTGTTTGGACTGGGGTTGGTCTCCCTGTTCTGTGAAGCCTCCAAACTGCGTTCCCTGCCTCCTCTCTCAACTTCGTACAATTCGTTCTCTACTAAGTAGTTAGAATGATGGGCCTAAAACCAACTACGATTACATCGCGGCTTTACTCAGACACCTTCTAACGACAGCTCACTGCCTACTGGATAAAGCCTAACTTCACAGCAAGACACAAAAGACTTCACACGCGACTCCCATACCCCGCTTTGCCATCAGTCTCCTCTCCCATGTCTCCCGGCTAGCGCCATCTGTCCTGCCTATTAACTGCGTTCTAAATGTTCATTTGTCTGTCGCTGCAGCGTCCAGGCTGATCCGCGACATGCTCGGGCCTCGCCTTTTCCAGGGAGCAGGGGACGAAATCAGGCGTGGGCCGGCCCGCGCCCCTCCCCTTCTAGGGCCTCCTCAGGCCGCGATTCTTCCGGGCGGGCCCGGGCCGCCCAGTGCGGGGAGGGCAGCGGGCCGGGCGCTCCCTGCCTGGGCCTTCAGCTCAGCTCCTTCCCCCAACAGTCGAGGCCTGGGCGGGGGCTGGGGGTAGGAAGCAGCCCGCGGCCTCGGGCCACGGTGCCGGGGGACAGCGTGCCTCTTACCACAAACACGGCCTCAGGAATCCCCAGATGAAGTCTCCGCCCGTTCCCTGCCGCCACTTCGCTCGTACCACAACCTTCCTTAGCGGCTGCCATGTTGAGGAAGCAAGCGCGCGACCGTCTGCAGGCCACCGGCCGCCGGGAGTCCGTGATTGGCTTGCTCGCCCCTGAAGGCCCGCCCCCTCGTGTAAGTCTGAGCATTCATTGGCGCTCAGGGAGGAGCCGCCCCTTCCCCTTTGGCCGAGTAGCCTAACCTGTAGGTGTTGATTGGCTACGCGCAAGTGAGTGACAAGCGTGCCGGGGCCGCGAAGGAGGAGTCCGAGCTGCAAGAAAAACTCCTGGGAAAAGGAGTTTGGGGATGTTGTGAGCGGACAGGGTTAAAGCCCTGGGAATGGGAGCCACGACGGACCCCACGCCCTCGCCAGAACAGGCGGCACCCTCCGTCACGGCTCCCACAGCAACCCGATCGTCTCTCGGACCTGACTGAACCTGGGCCACAGACGCCACCTGGAGGGTTCGGCCTCCGCCTTTCTGGTCCCAACAACCCAGGCAGCTTCCTGCTCCTTGAAGGGCTCTTTGTGTCTGTTTCCGAGTGGAGCCACTGGCCTGAGTCTGATAAATACCCCGCCCATCTCACCAGCCTTTCCCAAATGCCACCTCTGATCAGAATTTCGTCACGCCAGCTCAAACATTCTTAAAACTTAGTCTACATACAAAATCCTAAGAACTCTGCCGAAGCTTCTAGGCCCATGGACTTATCCAACATCTTCCTCCACTACAACCCTTTAAAAGCAAGTGTGTCATACAGACCCAAGTGATTATTCCTTGGTCTCTTTCCTGTTTGTCCCTGCCTTTGCCTTCGCTGGAGTGGTCACCAGTGAAGCAGTGCTTCATCCGCTTCTGTAAATTTTGCCACGAGTACGGGAAGTCGTGCCGTGGAAAGTAAGTTTCCTTTCTCAGAGGCGATCGCTGGTACCCGTTTGTCTCCATAAATAATCAACGTGCGACCGAGCAAATGGACATAGATAGTCCTTCTTTATATATAAGAAGAAATTGTTTTCCTCATGTTATAAATGAGGAAACTAAAGCTCAGGGAACCTGTATACCTTCTCCAAAATCCTACAGCTAGATATTAGTGAAGCGGGACTCCAAACTAGCTCTCCAATGGCTTCCATGCTCCTCGGCTTGGGAGGATGAAGACCTGCCAGCCACGGCTCTTTCTCAGACAAGCAGCATCGTGAAGATAATGTCTCTGTTCCTGCGGAGGGAAGTAGAAGGGAACACCATTCCTCATTACTATCTCCTACCTCAACACGTCCCCGAAAGAAAAAAACGTGATATCTCACAAGTTTCGTTCAATTTCACTAATCCATGTCTGTATTAATCATTGGTATAACTAATCAAAGCCTTCTTCCAAATCATCACTAATTCTAATTTATTCTGGAATAAATCCCTCTAAGAAATATATTATTTGACTTTTAGAGCCAGGTTTTTCTGTATAGCTTGAAACCAAAAACCTGCTCACGTTCGTTCTACTCCCTTACAGATACAGACAATTGATTCGCATATTTACACTGCTGAATTTATTTCCTCTCCAGGCTCCTCTTGCTTAGAAAGTTATATGCCAGTTTCTTCTGGCTCTTCTACCTCCCTCCTTATATGGCTGCAGCAGAAGGAAGAAGCCTCATTGCAGCCTTTTCCAAGCATGCACTAGGATTATTAATTCTAAATGTGGTCATTTTATTGTCTTCCAGTAAATAAAAAGAGCTTCCCTCTGACAGCTCCCAATGTAGCTATTACCTGAACTTAAATATGATTGTTCTTTAGTACCCCTTCAGTAGCCCACAACTTTTATGCTTAATCTTTACATTGATTTAGTAAAAGCATTTTTTTAAAACAGACTTTTAAAACAGTGGTAGCTTTTCACCATGGACACTTTAAAATAAAACAAAAAAAAAAGAAACTTAAAACACATACATCAGGAATCAGAATAACTTCTTAAACAAATATTATTTTACATGGTGGTGTGCTGATAAATGTTCAACTGATTCTCTATGGAGGCAGGTGCACATTTTTTTCTAAATTTTACTGCTACAAAGGATATGTGGCACACAATTTCATAAATTATAATAAAATTTTATTTTATTTAATAAACTTTATTGTAAATTCCATATAACCAATTGATTCTCGCAGAATGTTTTTGTTGATTTTTTCCAAACACATATTCCTACACAATGTGTGGTTGCAACTGATGAACTGGTGTACTTCTGATATGAATGTTGGTTGATATTTTCATTTAAGTTAAGTAATAAAAAAAAGGAATTCAACAAAGGCTTATGTATTGGCACGTATTCATCAATGATGTGAATGACTCCTTTACTCATTTGGGTAATGCTTTTCAAATACCAGAAAAATATTGCCTAGTTTTTTGTCCTATTGATGATGTAATGACTACAAACATGACCCACTTTTAAGCGGAATCTGCATTAGTAACATTTCTTCCATCACTTTCTTAAGTCTAGAGCAACAAACAGTAAAATAAGCCCTAGTTTGTAACATTTGCCAATTTCTGTCGTATAAATATTTTCAACATGGCTGATTTAAACCCATATGGAGTTGGGAGGACATGCCCAGTAGTAACATCATTACAAAGTAGAGCTACAATAGATATAAATAACCTCAAGAGTATAGATAACACTGAAATCTAAGAAAACTAACTAGAAAGTAACTTTAAGTATTTATTACCCTTGTCTTTATTTATTTATTTATTTATTTTAGTTTTTTTTTTTTTTCCTTTTTGTCTTTTTTACTGACCGGTAATGGGATCGCAACCCTCGGTGTTGCGCCCGCACCGCGCTCAGCCAGTGAGCGGGAACCGGTCTCCACATGGGATCCGAACCCTCGGTGGGAGCGCCGCCGCGCTCCCAAGTGGCACACTCTCCAGTGCGCCACTGGGCTGGCCCTTACCCTGGTCTTTAAAATAATTTATTTTTATAATTTAATTTTGAATGATGGCTGAGTTTAACAACCATCTTGCAAAATTTCTTAAAATTTGACAATCAATTCTTGCCTTACACATTGGTACAAGCCAGCTCCAGTGCACCAGTGGTTCATATTTTGGGAAGCTGGAGCTTAATGACTTCTGTGAATAGCACCTTCAATGTCACACTGACGTGCTCTGCGGACAAGGAAGAAAAAGATGTTACATACAGTTAGAGTCCCCTGGGAGAAGAGGGTAATGTCTTTACCATCTTCCAGACCTCGGAGGACCAAGAGCTAACAGCCTGGAACCCACAGCAACCACTCTGACTCCATCTCTGCCTGGCAGCCCTGTGCGTGTAACTGGCTCTGTCCTACTCTTCCGGAGCCTCAGAAAGCTAGAGAGCTGCGAATCCTGAGGCTGGGGAAATGTGCTTCCTATTTTGCCAGGCCTGGTTGTTGGGGGCATCTTCTCTCAGGAAGTCCACTGGAAAACAGCCCAAAGCCTTCAGAGAAATGCCAAGCATTTCAGGGTGTTCTGAGACAGCCTCTGCTCAAGCTTCTGATTCAGACTTTCTAATCCTGACCTTTGAGAACAGTATTAGGCCTCATGGCTAGTTTAACATCAGCACAGGCAGGTTAAGCAACTTTCCCCCTACTCCCCCGCCCCTTTCCCTTTTCTGCTCTGGGAACTGAGATCCTCTCCTGGGAAGGGGTAAACTTTACCATCATCATCAAGGGAACGTCTTATAGGTTGTGTCTAGCAGCCTTAGGGCTGGAATGCTTTGTACTGAGATAGTGGCTAATCAAGAGCCTATGATTTAACCTACCAGATGTCATCGGACCACAAGGACTGTGTCACCTTGCATGCCACAGATTTCAAAATTGCCCATTACTCTGTCTGAACCCTTCCTAAAAGCCCTGTCAAGCCCATGCTTTCCTTCGTTCACGGGAACTGATCTGGTTCAGTCTCCCCTCCACATTAGTGGAATAAACCTTTTGGCAGAAATGGTTCTTACTCAGGTCTCTCTCTCTTTTCCTCTGTCTGGCCAAACCTAACAAGCAGAAAGCATAGTTTCCCTAGGAGCATGGGAACTCTCCTGGAGGGTACCCAGTTGTGATAGTGCCCCTGCATGCAGACAAGCCTGCGCAGCCTCTTCCTGTTTCCCAGGAAGTCAAGATACACACATCTCCTATTTCCAGACCTCTCAATGGGCCTCCATACTCACTACCCTGAGTTGTTGAATGTGCTGGTCACGCTCTCACTGTTTGTTCCCACTGCACCTTCAGTGCTTTCATTCAGTAGAATTTCCCAGAAGGTGGATATGTAGAAATGCAATTGCCTTCTTCCTGGGACTGAAGTTATTTATCTAAGGTAACGTGGAGAGGTCCTTTGTTCCAGGAAACTAACCCTTCTGCAACCTGCAGCCCACCACCTAACCACCTCCCAGAACGATGACCCTGGGGACTACCCTGATTTGTCTCCAGAATCCATTCCCAGGTTTGCCAGTGTAGTGTGCCCTAGAACTTGGGTTTTAATTTAGCCTTGCCAAAAGCAAGGTGTGCCTCATTAGGCAAGTGTCTTCACCTATTTGGCTCAGTGTCCTCACATGTGAAATGAGGTTTGGACTAGAGGGTCTCCAGGGTCACTTCTATTGCTATTCCATTTTGACTATGACCTCTGATGAGTCACTGAGGCATGTGCACTAAGTTTGCATCCCATGGTCATCACTACATCCCACTAGATCCCTCTGGAATCTTCTGTAATTATGCCATTCTGAATTTAGAAAACCTGATCTTGGGACCGTGGGTGGGTAATTGCAACCTGCTAATCCTTTTGATCTCATGTTCACCCAAGCTCTTCTTTTCCCATCAAACACAATAAAAAGCATTGATGTAGACAGGTTCAAACTCTGCTTCCATGTCCCTGAATCTCTTTTGGGCTTGATTCCTCAGGTTCCTATGCAAAGACCTTTGGTGTAAGTCTGGGTAAATTCTCAGCCACAAGGTTCCCTGGGTAATTATTGGGAGGGATGGAGCATTCGCAGCACAATGATTAAGACTAAGAGCATGTGCTTTGCAGTCAGCTTATGTGGCAGTCACCACTTGATTATTTATGAGCTTTGGGAACTATGGG